TGAACTACAGCCACATGGAATTTTAGTAGACAAAAGGAAGGGTCTTCCCAGAATTCTGCAGGCAAATCCAAATGGTTCTGGAAGCCTCCCTATATGTTCTTGGTCATGTTCCTAAAATCCTACTTTGGACAGACAGCAGGGAGCTTTGGAATATCCAGCATTTCTTCAGTGGGCACCTTTTAATTTCCTGAATAACTGCTTCAATTTGGTTACAAACAAGTTATTGAAATAATGGCCATCGAAATTTTCCCTAAATTCTCAAGCTTACTGCGACATCAGTGAAGCTGAACCTACAAAGTGAGGGTCCCATAGCAATTTGTTGGGAACAGAAGTATCTTCTGGAACTGTAGAACCATCTGGAAGAAAACCTGCCTCTTACCACAGAGAGGACCAGATTTCAAACTTACTTAACAGGATCTCATTTTTGTTGTTGTTTCAGGAAGATAGTACTCGAATTTTCCTAGCAACTAGGACTCAAAGGTCCTGGACTCTCCAACTCCACTTCACACTGGAGCTGCCCCTGATATCTGCTTCCCGGAGTGTTTTGGTCCCTGGTCCAGCGCAAATGTAATTGAGAGGACTCAGCTTACTCTGAAGTTAAATTTTGTGAGACTTTATAGTCTCATCCTTAATGCTCATGAAAGGCCTTTTGCATTTATCTTGTGTTTGAATGTGGCAGTCATACATTTTTAGCAGCTGCACGATAAAAATGGTTGAGATCTATTTTAAAAGCTCTATTTCTGAGTCTACTTCTTGCTGCTACACAACCCAAGGCAGCATCAGCGGAAGCCAGGTCCCTGGTGGGCAGGAGAGGCCGTGAGGGGAGATGCCCAGCTTGGACCCCGCCTGCAGCCTCTGCTCCTAGGGAGGGCTGCGGCTGGGCTCCTCCCGGCACAACCAGATCTTCCTTCCTCCACTACGTTGCTCACCCCTCCCAAATCTCGGGGAACTGAACAACCAGACCATCTCGTCTCTAGAACACAGTGCTGAGTCAGCCCATACCAAATTAATGTAATTACCATGTTGATTTCCAGATGTTAGTGTAATGCCAGCCTATCAAAACTCTGAAGACGAAGCCTAAAACAAATACACTTTCTTAGTAAACACCCAGATGAGGACCTGCTGGCAAATCTGACGAGGCTACAAGAAGCGTCTCCAGAGACAGCATGGTGGAAACAGGTCCCCTCCCCACCTGGGAGGCAGCCAGAGCGGCTGGCCACTGCAGCCTGGGCCTCTTCTGTTGCCCTCATCCCTCTGCACTCTGTGCCCTGCACTGCCAGGTCCACCGCCTCTCACCAGGCCTTACACGGGGTGGTCTCCTGTTCAAGGCCCAGAACCTCTAGAAAACAACCCCTCCTTTTGCCCAGGAGGTCTGCAGTCCCCTGCACCTCCCCAGCCAGGTGGAGGTGGCCTCTTCCACGTCCTGACCACACCCTCCATCATGTCCTGGGCCATCTGAGCATTGGCCTTATCACTGATAGATTCTGGGGCAGTTAAACCTATCTTCTGGGGTATGATTCATAGACACAGTGTCTGTCACCGTACCAGACACAACAGATGGGATTAGTTGTGGGTCTTTTTTCTGGGTTGTGTTTTCTGGCTTCTGCCATAGAGGCTGAGATTCTTCCTTCTGCTGATCGGATGATCAATTGTTCTTTTTGGTGCACATTCATGGTAAATATCCAGACTTCTGCGGGCGAAATAGTTAGGAGCCCGGTCTGGTCTAATCCACTGCCTTGTAGTTCAGACTTTGGCTATGAAAATCACCAGGAAAGATAAATTCACCACTTCCTTGCAAATTTTCTTCAGCATTAGAACTTTGCAAAATTGTTCTTAACTTAATCTTATTATTCCTAATTATAGGCCTTGTGCTGTGCTGATTCTTTTCATACTGATCCAAGCTCCTATAAAGTGAGTTTTGTGTTCTACTCGGGGCTGGCTTCTCTTGATGTGCTGGCGCACCCATCCCCAGTTTCAGAGGTGATTTCTAATTACATGCCTTCCAACCTCCCATATCCTGATTTGCTGCACCTTCGTGAGATGCTGAGTCACCACTAGGCCTATATCATTCGGAATTATTAGGTCCTAAATCACACTGAGGAAACAGCTAAGATTCAATCTCTTTTTAAAAAATTTTATTTTATTGAGAAACAAATGTCAATGAGACAGTTTCAAAACTGAGTAATAGGACAGTTTCAATAATTAATACATTGTACATTGTTATCTTCTTCGTTGTTTTTCATTGTACAAGATGCAGACAGGATATCCTGTCCAAACACTATTAGCACAAATCTTTCTTCTCATTGAATTAAGAGAAAGTAGCTGTATATCTATCCTAACTATTCTGCATATACAGATACCAAATGGTCCTTGCTTTGTATCCCTTTTTTTGTTTAGTCTTGTCAGAGATGGGTATTCCGTTGGCATCTAAATACTATAGGTACGTGAATTCAGCAAAACAATCCAACACAGTCCAGCAGTCTCCAGCAGTCCTCAATAGTAGTGGGTTATCCACAGAAGTTGTTGACTTGAACCTTTCACAGCTCAGCATATTAATATGGCTTTACTTTCTATACCTCGTTTTTATACTTTTCTGTTGGATGGTTAAGGCCAAGGTGAAGCAAGACTTGTATAACAAGAAATGTAACTCTTGTATCTGATAAGGGCAGTCAAGTCCCCTCAGGATTCATCCTGTAACCCTGTACTGTAATTTGCAGATCCTTTGTCAGTGTCAGCCATGTCCAGGTAAGCGCTCATTCTACTGAGCCACCTCCCTGGCCCTGATTCAATCTCTATAGCTTGTCAGCTGTAATTTTAGCTGACATTGTGTCCTTTGAGTAATTATGTCTGTTAATGTTACAGAATTTTTTAAAAACAAGCTGGGCATGATGGTGCACCCTGGAATCCCAGAACTTGGAAGGCCCAGGCAGGAGGATTGTCATGAGTTTGAGGCCAGCATGACCTACATAGTGAGACATAGTCTCAAAAGAAAAAAAAAACATGCTTATAGCACCAATTTTTGGGAAATAAATGAAATTAGTTTCTTTAATAGCTTAAACAAATCCAAAATTATTTCAATCTCAGCTTGTTCACTTTTTTCCTCCGCTAATATTGTCTTAGTTACTTTTCTTTTATTGCCAGGACACAACACCCAACATACAAAATTAAGGAAGGAAAGCCTTGTTTGATAAGCTCCCAGCTTGTGGGGCTCAGCCCGTGCTCAGCTGGCTCCAGGGAGGGAGGCACAGTGCGGGGCAGCAGCTCACGGCAGCAAAGAGAGCACAAGCGTCACGTGCAAAACGGGCTGGGCAGGCTCTTTTCCTCCCCTGTACGGTGTGCAGGCTGCCCGCCTCAGGTGGGCCCTGTGCACCTACACCTTCTCTGTGCCCTCCTCTTCCGCAAGCTCAGCTTGGTTACAAAGTGAGGGCCCTGGCCCCCTGACGAGTCACTTAGCAAAACTTCTAAACTTCTCACGTTGACGCAGTGAATCAGCCATTACATCATGGAGCATAAACCACCAACCTAGAGCACATCCTCCACACCCTTGGTGCAGATTTGCCGAGTTACTAGTTAGCTTCTAGATTTCTCAAACTGACACATGTATCAACCGTTACAAATATGAATCTAACACTGGCCAAATCATTGTAACTAAGCAATATTACTGTGGACAGAAGTCCAAAATGTAAAAATTATATACAAATAGCTATAAATTTCCAAGCAAGTGTGACTCTTAGAATTGTTGCGCAGAACTAAGCATGCATCCTAAGGGAAGTACAGCAAACCTGGGTTCTGAACGACCTGCTCTGCGAGTGTTCTGGAGGACTAGCAACATTCCTAAAAATTTAACTTGATAAGTGAGCAGCGCTTTGCAATACAAGTAGTACATGAATCCCAACAGCGAATGATTGCAACTGAGCCAGTTTCTCTCTCTCTCTCTCTCTCTCTCTCTCTCTCTCTCTCTCTCTCTCTCTCTCTTTCTCTTTCTCTCTCTCATTTGGGACCATGGGTGACTCAGGTTACAGAGGAGATCTCATTTGAAGAGAAGGAGGAGAAAAAGCCAGAGGAATCCTTCACTTCAAGTGAGAAGATGAGATCAGGGAGATGGGTGAGAAACAGCACAAAATTTGGTATGAAAAGCAGCAGCGCAGGGCTGTGGCAGAGCAAGTGGTGGATGTGCTAACAGAGTGCGCAGGCACATCTCCCTGAGGTCCTCTGAGGAAGGTAAAAGCAAGAAACACTGAGTGGGTTCCGTACTAAAGGTGCACCAAGCTCAGCAGACTAAAGCACCTGCAAACAGGCGCAGGGGCCGGGGTTTGATCCCTGGGCCTGCTGTGCCGGCCCCGCCCCTGGGCCGAGCTGAGATGGCAGTTGAGACTGGGCGTGGTGGTGCGCGCCTGTAATCCCAGCTCTTGGGAGGCTGTAAGCAGACGGATCACTACGAGTCCGATCTGGTAGTGAGACCCTGAACACCCTGTAGACCCTTCCCTAAAAATACAAAAATAGATAAATAAATAGAAATAAAGTTGCACCAAAATGAAGCGGTTCCGCTGACCCAACAGCTAGCAGTGACCCATGGCGACGGCACAGTCACCCTGCACAGCCTCCTCCCTCTCATCTCCCTCACACCGGCTGGGAAGGTTTCTAAAGGTCCCTTTCTCGAACATGCATTGTCTGGGAAGGGCACCATTAGAAAAGCCACCCATGCCATGCCAGCATCCCAGGAAACCTCCGCCTGGAGTCATGGAGAGACAGGTAGCAGGAATCAAGCTGTGCACGGCTGCACGCCTCAACCGCGTGTGTGTGCACTTCCTGCTGATCCACGCAGTTGGAGCTTTATGGCTTAATTGTTCATTTTGTTCGTAATGTTTCTAAAAACCAGAAAAGTGAGGTCTGAGGTTTGGAATGGTCTTGCTGCTGCTGTAAATGATAAAAGGTTATCGAGTCGCAGTCAAATTCTCCTGAGTTCATTAAAGCAAATGTCCAGCGTTCTGGGAGCTTACCTTGTCGGACTGCAAGGGTGGTGGTGTAGACCAAGAAGAGAAGGATATAATTGAGGAAGCTCTGGAAAACTGGTGTGTTGGCGTGGAAATCTTCTGACAGGTACTTGCTGGTCAAGCCAATTCCACAAATAAGGAGGGACAGTACCTGGCCCAGGGCCACAGAGATCAACATCTCCCTGAGAAAGAAACAGGCAGTCCATTAAAACCATGACCATCAAGATACACTGGCCTCCCTAGGCACCAGGCAGTCGGAGGGCACAAACCACAAGCCCAGACCACTTATTTACCACAAAGTGCACGCAGCATTCAGCCTCCATATTCCGCTGTGGGGAGCGGCGGAGCTGCAGGCCACATGCACATTCGGGCACAGCAAGGCGGCTCCTGAGGATGTGGGGTGCCAAAGGTGAGCCACGCACAGGGGTTGTTGGGACCAGCAGGGTGGGCCCCGCAGGGGCCGGCCTCAGTGCTCCTCCCTGTTAGTGCCAGCACAGACAGCGCTGAGCACGCGCCGCGTTCCACGTGTTCAACAAAACGCCGAGACCTTGCACCTCCGGCCCCTCGCGTGCCTCCCCCCTCACTGTGTATAAATAAAGACGCAGACCGAGCCGGTTGTCACGGCCTCGGCACCAGAGCGGCTGGTCCCACTCAGCCCCAGCTTTCCTGGTTTCTGTGTCTTCGTTGCCTTACTCTCTCCCCCCCTCAGGCCCCTGCTGGCTGAGTGGGTCATGCACAACTGTCCTGCGTGTGGGGCTGCTGGGGGACTTGGCTCGCGTGCTGACGTGGCTCTGTGCTCGCCAGCACTGCACTAAGCTAAGGGCAACAAGTACTCCTCCTTTTAAGCCAGCCTAGCGCTCCCATACGGAAGCCGCATTACTGCTGAGGCCTGCTGTCTGTCCTGACCCCTGGACCTCGGTTTGCTCGGCAGAGTTCTAGGAGCTGGCTGGCTGCTCTCCTGGGCCTCAACGAGGGCTGCCCACGTGTTGTCACACACTCTGGCTCCTGAAGGCAGCGCTGCCGCATGGTGGCGGCGGCATAGGCACACCTGTCCATTCCGGTCATACCAGTGTCTCCTGTGTCCTCTCGCAGACACCGCACCCACGGACCACTGTCGTGGGGGCCACAGGCCAGTGTCAGGGTGCTGCGAAGGGGCCACATGCACCCATGGTCTTGCATGCTGGGACATGCGCAAAACTCTGGCCTGCCCTCCATGAAGCGTCCCCGGACTTTCCTGTTTATTCGTGGGGACGGCAATACAAAGCAAGCAAGCAGCATATTTCTGAACAAGTAGCTCAGCCAGAGGGTGATGGTGCTATGTCCGCCCCATGGCAGCGGTGAGTCTATTATCCCACAAGGAGCAGAGCCCTGCTCCCATAAAATCAGGGCTGGAGAGAGGTCAGCCAGGAGGTACATATGTGGGAGTTACATTTACAACGTGATGGCAAGAGGGCCAGAAATGGGCTCCACGCCAAGAAGGAGAGGAAGTGAGGGCCCTGGGGAGAGACCCCTGAGAAGCCGCCAGGCTGGGCTGGGAGGGGCGGGCAGGGTCACGTGGCTGGGGGTGCGCTCCGGGGGCCCGGGGACGAGGGAGGCCCGGGACGAGGGAGGCCCGGGGACCAGGGAGGCCCGGGATGAGGGAGGCCTGGGGACCAGGGAGGCCCGGGACGAGGGAGGCCCGGGACGAGGGAGGCCCGGGACCAGGGAGGCCCGGGGACCAGGGAGGCCCGGGACGAGGGAGGCCCGGGACCAGGGAGGCCTGGGACCAGGGAGGCCCGGGACGAGGGAGGCCCGGGACGAGGGAGGCCTGGGGACCAGGGAGGCCCGGGACAAGGGAGGGCCGGGACGAGGGAGGCCCAGGACCAGGGAGGCCCGGGGACCAGGGAGGCCCGGGACGAGGGAGGGCCGGGGACGAGGGAGGCCCGGGACGAGGGAGGCCCGGGACCAGGGAGGCCCGGGGACCAGAGAGGCCCAGGACGAGGGAGGGCCGGGACGAGGGAGGGCCGGGACGAGGGAGGCCCAGGACCAGGGAGGCCCGGGGACCAGGGAGGCCCGGGACGAGGGAGGGCCGGGACGAGGGAGGCCCGGGACGAGGGAGGACCGGGACCAGGAAGGCCCGGGACGAGGGAGGCCCAGGACCAGGGAGGCCCGGACGAGACTGGGTCCAAGAAGACCGTGCATGGGAAGGCATCCGCGGAGGAGGCTGCTGGCACTTGGAGGGCCGCCTGTGGGCAGAGAGGAGGAAGGCTTGGCAAGCCGTGCTTTGTGGTAGCTGCCAGCCTTTAAAGACAAGTTCTGGCGGAGTGGGGAGAACCAAAATAATCCTGCTGCCATGGAAACCGAGGAAATGGCACCTCCGAGGTGAGGAGGAGGGAGAGTGGCCCGGAACAGAAGGAGTCGGCGTGGACTGAAGAACTCAAAAGTTCTCGAAGGAAGAGTGCTCTAGTCACCATGTAGCCACACTAAGGGCAGTTAAAATGAGTATTACCGTTTATAGTAGATTAGGGATCACCCTGGCATCACCCCCTCGAGACGATTTGCCTAGTAACTCACATTCCTCAGTGAGAGCAGGGGGTGGAGTGCCAGCCAGTAAATCCCAGCATTGCTCCAGGCGCTGAGCTCCCCTGCCCGAGGACCTGGGGCTGGGACGTGTCCATAGGGAGAAAGCAAAGGGCACCGCTGTGCCCTGGGGCTCCCGCTGCTTGTGAGATGAACCATGGTATTCGGAACCTCAGCGACATCCATGCCTTCCTGGGCAAAATGAAGCCACTCGAGACCGCAGGTTACTTATGTGAGAGGGTGAGACTTCAGCCTTTCTCGGCCACATCTGCAGCCTGGTATAAACCCACCTTCCCCCTGCCACACACTGCACAGAAGGATGACAAGGCAGCCTGGTCACTGGGCAGCTATTCATCGCCAAGCTGGGCACTGGCTTCCTAAACAATCCTGTGTAAAATGGAGCCAATTAAGGTGAAATAGCAGCCATCGTTCATATTTAATGTTATTACTATGTGCCAAACCTTGGGCTTAAATTTATTGAGATGATCGCGCCTCATCCCCAGAACATCCTTGGGAGGCAGGCGCTGTTGTCCCCTCTTGTAGCTGGTCACTGATGCCGAGAGGGAGCGGCCAGCCTGTGATTACGTTGGGAAGAGTTCGGATGGAACTCAGCCTTCCACACCCTAGCTTCTTCATTACCACGCTGCCCCACTACGCACTGCACACTATTCCACTCCCCCAAGGGCTAGCTTCTAGGAATGCATTGTAGATGGTGAAGACCCAGAAAGAGCCCCTGCCCAGGCACCTCTCCGCCGGCGCTTCCACCAACACCCCTGGAGAGGTCAGCGCCGCCCATTCTTGCTCCTTGAGCTGGCCGGAGCAGCGGATGTGCTGCTTTCTGTTTGGGCTTTTAATGAGTAAGTGGCCATGTCCTTCAGTTGCTGCTGGTGCAGTTTGATGGAGAATATAAATCATGGTGGTTCAGCCACACGGATGAAGGTGCTACAGGGAACAGAGAGGGAAGGCAGGGCCTGCCAGCAACTCAGCGCATGAGCCCTCCGGCTGCGGAGCTGGGTGTCGGCCGCCCCAGCCTGTGCCACCCCAACAAGACCAGAGAGCGGGCGAGGGAGTGCAGATCAAAGAAGCACACACACTTGGATGTGGCCTTCTGTTCACGGCCCCCCGGTTGTCCTTTGCAGAGGGACAAATCTGCGTTGCCCACCAGAAGGCCCTGCCTAGGACCTCAGCTTGTTGAGTGTCACCCTGGGCCTCTTAAGCATTTCTTTCCTTTGGTAACAATTGCAGGTGGTCTGTGGTCCTCCCCGCCCCCTGCATAGCAGAGGGAGCCCCTGTGGGTCACGCCCTGTACCCCATAACTGAGTCGAGTGTCCTTAGCCAAATGTTCCCGTCTCCACTTGCACTCACGGTACCAGGAGCTCATGAGCACCTGAACAGACAGAACGCATTTTGTTCACTTCTGTGTTCTGCTGCAGCGAGAGCTGCTGGACAGAGAGGACACAGGTGCTCACTGAGCGCCGCATGAGTGGACAACTTGGCACAGGTATCTTCTACGAAGAGAGAGAGCCTTAGAGGATCTGAAAGATGGCTGCTGAGCTCTTAAAAACTACCAGCTCTGAATGATAAAACAGCCTTGCTTTCACTGTACTCCATCTGCCAGTCAGACACTGAGATTAATAAGCTATTTTCTGGAGCATTTTCGAACAAGCCTGGTAGGTGCTATCTTGCAAAAATGATGCTAAATATGGTTCAGGGTGAAATTTTGCACAGCAAGCTGTTGGCTATTCACACAGGATATGGAGCAGCACACCAGATGCAGCCTAACACCAGACACACAGCCCCTATAATTTTAGTAGCAGAAAGGGAGGGGGGTTATGGTACACATGCTCATCCTGTTTACGCATTTGAAGGACATCTTGTCCACTTTAGATTCAAGAGGACGAGATGATGAAAAACGCCTGAGTCTCAGGGAAAGCAGCGCTTCTGGGAGCCGAGTCCCTGCTCCAGCAGGGCTCGCGTCCGTGAAGACCGGCATAACCCATGCCACCGGTGCCTGTTGTGCTGCAGAAACAGGCCCGAGCTCTGAGAATAAAGCTACACTATGAGTCAGCATTCAAAATTAAAATTAAACTACAACTTGCACCTGGTGTTCTCATCTTATTGGTAAGATAGATCCAAAGGAGGAACTTCAGCAGGGAGCTTCGCATCACATTGCCCTGTGTCTCTGCTGTGGGAGTGACATAACTATGCTTTGGTGTGAGTGAGAGCCGATCCGCGTCTCTGAGGAGGGCTCTTCATTCTAACAGCCTTCTCAGCGATCACCTCAGAGCTGCATGAGCCGTGAGTTCAGGTGCAAGCGCATGAGAGCACCAGGGGGCTCCGCCGTTCTCTCCCGCCGGAGGTGGAGAGGCGCCCCACCGTGTCCTCTGACAGGGCTCCTGCCGCAGCAGGCAGGCCGTCAATGACCTGAAGCTCCTCGTGAAGGATGTCTTTGCTTTGCTCTTTACCGCACCCAGCATTAATTAGCCTCCCACGTAAGAAGATTATTAGGCAAGAGGCAAACCCATGCCTCTCAGAGTCCAACCTTGACTGGGGCTTCTTTCCCTTAGATTCTGCACCAGTGGAGTCAAATCTGTTCTTGACGCTGTGGGATCCAAGCTGC